TTCTGGGTTGGCGGTAGCGTCATAGGCACGGACCACCGACCAACACGTTTTTCACCTTAGCCGACTGTGCCGCCTCGGTAATTTCCCTGGAGAATGCCGTTGGTTGTTCCCCAAGGTTAAGCAGCCGGAGCTGCCAGTCCATAGGCTGGACCGGTTGAGCCGCCTGACCCCCGAAGAGGGTCGGCTACATGTATGGAGATCCATATGGTATGTACGGTGACCCGTACTGTACCGGCTGGATAATTTTGGGACCAGAACGTGTTGACGGACCGCACGACTGAGTTCCTGCGTTTGATTCCGAATGCTTTATGGAAGAATTTCGAAAGCTGTCTGGGTAGGTCGACGTTGAAGCCGACACGGACAGCTGTAGACCTCTCTTTTCCTGGATGAGCATCCGGGCATCAGAGTAAGTCTTCTTTGATCCATCCGGCTGTACTTGCCGGATGGGCTTCCTTTGTCCTGTCTCAGGGAAACGAAGCTTTGAGACGTCGATCGTGGACCCACCCGCCACCTTTGGTTTCGGGTGAGGGGTAGGCACACGGTCTTTGAGTTGCTTCTTCCTGGAGGGAGAAGGCTTCTTTGCCGTCTGACCCTTGTGAGGGCCGTTGGACTTGTTTAGAAGGCTCTTGATCTCGCCCTTGAAACTTGTCATGAATTTCATGAGTTCGTCCTTCGTGACGGGAGCAGCACCTTCTGCCACTTGGGTTGTCCCAGTCGGTCTGTCGTTTGGGCTGCCTGGAGCAGCCTGACTTTTTCCCCGCTCCTTTATTTCTTTGGAGGGAATGTGCTTTATCCAGAAGGACCCGTCTGGGGCCACATAGGTGTCGATTTCGTAATCGTCACCACTTTCTTGGTCTGTATGGACCTTAGGCTCGACCGTAGGCCGTTTGCCTTCATTCGTTAGTACAGTTTCAGAATCCATCTAGGAAGTACTCTCCCCACAGACGGCGCCAAATGTTTCGGGGGTTTTTGATGTTTCATGCAAGAGAGTTACAATCCCTAGTATGTGTAACCGACGCCTGTACCTGCAAAACCACGAAGACTCCGGTTGGTGGGAGCTCCGCCTCCGACGATCAAGTCAATAACGTACAGGAGGTAATAAGTGCGGAAATAGTAAATACTCCTCGCTAATACAGGAGGATTCTGCAATTAATATTGCTCGGGATTCGTGTTCGTATTTATGGTTGTTTGTGAATGCCCAATAAATGAGGTCTGACCCACTATTTATAGTGGGGAGACCAGTACCCCTTCTAGGGTTCAAAGGACACATGTCAACAGGGGATTGGTGCCCTGTTGACCTATGGCTGGCTGCCACGTGTCGCAAGGCCATTGGGCCACATGTTTAGGGTAATTTTTACCCTAAACATACTTGATTTGAAAATCCTTCAAATTGCAATTTTTATGTAGATTTTTGGGGGTTTAAGGAGAGAGAATGTGATGAACACGAAGAGAGAGAAAGTTAGAGAGGAGAGAAAATTTTAGACGGTTGGTAGAGGGTTTGAGGAAGGATACGTGTTTTAATCTTAACCGTCCAATGTACCTTAATCCTACGGCTGAGATTGGTTCCTATATAACTAGGGTTCTTATATAAGGAGGGGTTCTTACCGGATCCTTCCCCTATATATATATATATATATATATATATATATATATATATATATATATATATATATATATATATATATATATATATATTGGACAGGTAGAAAACATGAAAAAAAGGTGTTGAGCTATTGGTGAACACCAAAAAGGTGATCGGAGCATAAGGGATCGTTCAATGTAGAAAAAATTTACGCGAGATGGCAAAATTGACTTGCATCGGAAATAAGTTCATTGCTAAGAATAAGCCAAAGATGTTTTGCAGTAAAAACTACAACACGAAAAAAGCATATCTACTTGGACTTATTATTATCACGAAAATGGTGAAGATAATGTAGTTTGTGAAACTTGCAGATGTATTAGAGAAATAGATGTATTTTATGCAGTAATGCATGTTGTTTCAATATTTTAATTAGTGGATTAAATAGTTAAGGATGAAGGATATTTTTTTAAGAGAAGGATATTGTTATTATTTCCAAAAATTTCCCAAAAAAACTTTTCATACAGAAATAAATTTGGCAAATAACTATAAGCAATAAAGACCAATAGCCAATTAACTTTTTGGATAACTTTATTAATTCTTGGATCAACTTTTCCTACGTGAGATTGCTATTAAATTTAATTCGGAAGCTTTCTATTAGATTTTTTGAAACAACTTATTGATATTTGTTCACTTTCTTTTTTAGCTTCTAAGTTGTCTAAGACCTTCCAATTCAACAGTTCAACAAAATTCCTAGAACAAAATGTAAACTTCCTCAAAACTATAAACAAGAAAATACTGAGCAGATATCTGGAACAATTTCAATTAAGCACTTATATGAAGTTTCTAAAAAATTAATGTGCACTTTCATACAGCTACAAAGTCATTGTTGAAGATATATACAAGTATTTAGATATCCCCCATAGTTTACGGCTCAAAATTATTTTGATTGGTATAATAATACTATAATTGCATGTTACTCTCTCCTTAAATGGCTACCATGCATGTAACGGAAAGTCTGCTTAAACTAAAATGAGCATACATTTATTCTCATTATTCTCATTAACGGAGGAGATCTGTTTAATTTATTCTCATTAGTTTCCTTATTGAATCATGTAATTTACCATACATTTTTAAACAGGGGAAAATTGAACAGGTGCATGTGTAAGCTACAACTATTTTTGGATTACTGTTTAACTATGGTTGAATTAAAATTTTAAAGAATGAGATGTTCTAATCATTGAAATTAGTGATGAATAACAACTTTTCTCCAACCTTATATTGTAACAAGTCACTAATATTTGTTCAGCTTCTGGTTTTCTCAGACCATCTAATCCAGCACTTATACAATATTCCTCAAACAAGATGTAAGCTTCGTCAAAACAATAAATGAGCAAGTCGGGTGGTTATAGGGAACTTCACGGATATTATTTTGCCAAAGCCGAATTTACCGAAGTAAAAATCAAGCAAGTCGCTCGCGTAGCGTGCGGGCGTACAACTAGTATCTCAAATAAAGTTAAGAGTCCAACTAGTCCAAGTAATGGTACGTGTCTAAGTCAAGTACGAATAAGGGAGTTTGCATCAAGCTTCATTAGGTGCATCAGTCTTATGGTCCAAGTGAATGCAATACTTTAGAAAAGAGGAAAATAGCACGTATGAAGATGTGTATCTATATGCACATGATAAAAAGACATTTGGTCCATGATTCAAGCAATGTCCAAGCTTTGTGCTTTGAAGTACTTTGTGCCACCCAAGTTGGTCCAAGTTCATAAGGAGATCAAGCAAGTAAAATATGTCTAAATGCACGTCATACTCGTGGGTGAAGAATGAAGCTAATACATCAAGACTTCATCATAGTTCAAGCCGTCATTTGAAGATTTTAAGACTAATCTCTTTAATCATGTTTAAGAAAAGAATAATTGTGGTGTAACTCATGTATTTAATGCTCTTAAAACACGACAATGAAGAGAGTTCTAAGGGAGAAAGATTCCTCCCAAGACAACGATACATTGAAGACACATTGGAGAGGGAATCAAGCAAATAGAACCCGTCACTTTGGAGCATTATTTAGTAGTATTAAAGATCTTGTTTAAAGCTAGATTATTGATGTAATAAGTAGCACTAGAAGGCTTGTAATAACTGATAATCACGAGGACATTTGATCCCTAAAGGAACCGTTACAAGTGATCATTGTTGGATGCTTTATTTGATGCACTAAACAGCTGCCTAGGATCCCTTGCTTATTTTCTTCGTTTCTTCAATAAGCGCTGCAAATAAGGGGCAGCAAATGGGGCAGCAATGGCACCATGTAACGACTGATTAATGCAGCCATTACATGAGCATTTGTAGCGGTTCTTTATGAACCGTTACAACACACCGCCACTTACCTTGATCTTGCACGGTTTTGATGATTAGATTAATTAGAGTTTAAGTAGTGTTTTAAGTGAGGTGTAATTAGAATAAATCAAGGTGATTAAGTAGAGTTCATTTAGTAATGAACTTGACTTCTAATCACTAAAAATTGGCAAGTTGTAATCATTTGAAAATCGTTGTTGAATGATATAAAATTGATTTCCTTGTGAAATTTTGATCTTGTGGATTCAAGATTGTTGGCTCGTGGATTCGAGTTGTTCTGACTTGTGGATTCAAATCACTGAGCTTAGGCCGAGTTGCATGGATTCGTGCTCGGTCTAGTTCATCCATCCTTTAATCGATAGTTGGTGGAGTCCTTATCATTGAGGAATATCTTTCTTAAACATTCCACTTTCCCATGCACTCTTTCCATTTCTTCACATCAATCTCACGCACCAATCACTCCAACCAAACACACGTCCATCATACACGCATACAAGCAAGTCACGTCACTTGCATAAAAACATATAAAAAAAAAAAAAAGTGCGCACTTTCACTTTTAGGCTTAACCACTTCGATCCTTATCGCATTACCAACGTGACTCACGGTCCTAGCCCACCGGAATCGCATCATGTTTTATTAATAGTATATAGTCATTGAATGTTATATTGAAGTTTAGATTGAAACTAAATGGGCAAGCTTAAGTTGTTGTAGTGTATTTCTTGAAAATAGGGTTCTATTTCCAATAAATTTGTGATTCCAAAATCATGGGTATATAATTAAATTGAGTTTTATGGGAGTGTGGATGTTGCTAGTAGTTTGGTTGGAATTGTTGGGTATATACTTTCTTCGTCTAACATATTTTATAAAGCGATATGAAAGACAAATTAAGCCCTTTGTAGAAGTTTTTTAATGTCATTTTTACATGTAAAGTACTGTTCCCTGCGCCCAAAATATTAACTAATTAAAACCCTTATACGTCATATATCACAAGGACCATTAGACAATCATCTTATTTGACGGGTACATAGACATTGTAAACACATAAATCATGCCATATAATATCAACAATCACTAGTAGAGAAATGCTCATTTGCGTCGAACTTCCAGCCGACGCAACCGGCGGAGACGCAAATGAGAAAAACTTATTTGCATCGAACAAATTGTTCGACGCAAATAAGGGTCATTTGCGTCGGAGTTTACTTGAACACCGACGCAAATAACCAAAAATAAAAAAAAAAAAACAAAAAAACAAAAAAATTGGAAAAAAGGCCGATTTGCGTCGGATTTTTGTTAATGTCCGACGCAAAAAAAAAAAAATGAACAAATAGTTGATTCTCTTTCACAGCTAAAAAAATGAACAAATAGATTTAATAATCAACAGATGAACTAATGAATGAACATTCTATTTTCAGAAATGTAACTTTTAAAAAATAGATTTTATTTTTATTGAAAAAGAATGTTCATTAACAAATTTTTGTTTTTTTTATAGGTACATCAGGCTTCATGGTGCTGACTTGTTTACAAGTACAGCAAGCTCTATTGTTGTTGATGAAGTAGTGTTCTTTGTGCAGCATGACCTGAGATTTGAGTTGGAGCTTGTGAGTGACTAAAGATGTAAAGAAACTACCACAAACATTAATAAAATTGACCCTGTAACTAACCAAGTAAAGCAAGTAAAAGAACAAAGGGGCAGCACCAAAAGCAAAACAGCTAGTCATCAAAGACCATGCAGCAGGAGCACAACAAAGCAGCAGGCAGAGCAAATGGCAGCAGCAGCACAAGCAGAGGGCAGCAGCAGCATAAACAGAGGGCCGCAGCAGCACAGCAGGCAGCAAGCAACGAGCAAAAAAGATCAAGCAGGGGAGCCAGCAGCACCAAAACAGCAACAAAAACAGCAGGCACGAGCAGAGGTCAGCAGGTGGCAGCAGGTCTTCAGCTCAGCAGATGCAGCACCAGCGAGCAGGCAGAACAGAAGATATGCATCAGCAGGTAACAACAGGAGCTCAGGTAGCATCCTAATCATAGAAGTAGCATCTGAAACCTTTAACTAATATGCAAAATAACTTCAACTTCAAAAACAATTTCAGCGAATCAAAACCCTAAATTTACCCAAAACAACATCAAAAAGGCGCAAAACCAAATAATCTTCAAAAATCAAGATAGGAGAGAGAATGTACCTCAGCATCTGCTCGAAAAAATAATGTTATCTTCAAAAACCGCTCGAATATGCTCGAAAATATAATGTAATTTGCTGGAAACTTGAAAAACAGCTCGAATCTTCTCTAAATCTGCTCGAAAACTCGAAATTTCTGGGTTTCGGTTTTGTGGGTTTCAAATTTTCTGGGTTTTTAAAGCTCGAATGTTCAAAATTTTTAGGTTTTTAAAACTCGAAATCTGGGTTTTGTGTTTCGAATTTGCTTGAAATGGATGGAAAGAGCTTGAACTTGCTCGAAATCTGGGTTTTGTGTTTCGAATTTGCTTGAAATGGATGGAAAGAGCCTGAATTTGCTCGAAATCTGGGTTTTTTGCCGGAAATTGCTCGAAATCTGGGGTTTTTTGCTGGAAAATTGCTTGAAATGGATGGAAAGAGCTTGAACTTGCTCGAAATCTGGGTTTTTTTTTGTCGGAAATTGCTCGAAATCTGGGTTTTTTTTGCCGGAAATTGCTCGACATGGATGGAAAAAGCTTAGGAATAGTATGGGTTTAGTGACAATGAGAGTAGTGAGAGAGTAGTACGTAGTGAGAGAGTAGCTATGGAAATATCCCTAACGTAGGAAAATGCTAAAGGATAAGATAAGAATCTGCTGAGCTGATTTTTTTTAGCCAATTGCGTCGGATGTTTTAAAAAACTGACGTAAATACTTCACCCAAATGCGTCGGCCTTTTAAAAAACTGACGCAATTGACCCTTTTGCATCGGTTTTTTTTAAATTGTCGACGCAATTGACCCGATGCAAATAGCCTATTTCACTTGCATCCCCTCATTTGCGTCAGACCTAATAAAAACCCAACACAAATTACATTATTTGCATTGACTTTTCTGTACATGAGCATTTTTGTACTAGTGAATTACTCATAATCAATTTGTAAGGTAATCCTTTCTGTGTTGTGCTTTGTACAGAAATGGAGTCATGTACATTACCCCTATTAAGGAGGAAGAAAAACAACTAACCTACACTTGTTTCAGAAGATTGTGAGGATCGATAGTAGATGGAAATGTTTCAAGGTATATTTAACAATATTAAATTTAAAAAAACGTTTATTCTTTAATTGATTAAAAGCAATTTTCCACATACATTCTATGTAAATACACTTGTGTATTCTTTTTTCTAATTGTAGAATTTCTTGGGAGCCCTAGATGAGACATTTATTAGAGCTCATGTTCCAAGTGAGGAGAGAGGAAAGTATTGAACAAGAAAAGGAAACCCTGAAATGAATGTTTTAGGTGTTTGTACACCTAACATGGAACTTGTTTTTGTCTTATCTGGATGGGAGGGCTCTACACATGATTGTCGTGTATTATGAGGCAATTTTGAGGCCTAATGGTTTAAAGGTGCCTCAAGGTAAATTAAGGGATTAAAAATAACCAAATATAATGACTTCCTTTATTACAATTAGTAATGACTTTTTATGTACCATTCTATGATTTTCAAATTTGTTAATTTTTGATAGGTGTTGGCTACACTAATTGTGAGGGGTTTCTTGCACCATATAAAGGGCATCACTATCTCTTGAAAGAATGGGGGGATCGAGTACCAGTAAGTGCTGAGGAGTGCTTCAACATGAAACACTCTAAAGCTAGGTATGTAATTGAGAGAACTTTTGGTTTGTTGATGGGAAGGAGGGAATTTCATAGGAGCCCTTCTTTTTTTTTTTTTTTTTTTTTTTTTTTCAATTTTTACTCAAGGTTGTATTGTTATAGCATTTTCTATATTGCACAATCTAATTTGAAAGCACATGCCCACAAATTTTGAGGTTGACGAGTCATCAGATGAGAGTGCGGATGAAAATGAGGATATTTGTGATGATGTTGATTACATTACTTAAGTTCAACCATCTGATGTTTGGATCGATTTTAGGAATTATTTAGCGCAAACATTATTTAAGCTATGATCAATCTTTGTTACGAATGGCACTCTTAGTCTTGTCCTTGTGTTTGGTGCTATGTGACACGATCTTTGTATTTTATGATTTTTTTTTGTGTTCTCGTCTTTGTGTTTAATGTTAAGTATGGTATTTATATTTACTTTGAATTGTTTTCTTTATGTGAAACAATATTGCTTCCTATATATAATAAATAAACGATTTCGTTATGCATTCTTACTTAATTGGTTAATTAGAATGGATGTAATTAGTCAATGTTCTCAAGGTATAGTAGCAAAGGAAAAGATAAGCGCTTCTAGAAGAAAGAGGAGGAAGAAGCTTTGATTGATTGTTTGATGGAGTTGAGTTGTGGCCAACAATGGAAAGGAGGAGGGTTTAAGAATGGATAATTTAATTAGTTGGAACTTATGTTGAACACTAAGTTTCCTGGATGTAGTTTAAAAGTCATTCCTCATATTGAATCAAAGTTCAAAGGGTTCAAAGAAGCTTTGATTGATTGTTTGATGGAGTTGAGTTATGACCAACAATGGAAAGGAGGAGGGTTTAAGAATGGATACTTGAATTAGTTGAAACTTATATGTTGAACACTAAGTTTCCTGGATGTAGTTTAAAAGTCATTCCTCATATTGAATCAAAGTTCAAAGGGTTCAAAGATAAGTATGCAATAGTTTCTAAAATAGTGACCAAGACATCTGGTTTTAGTGGGATAAGCAAACTAGTACAATACAATGTAAGAGACAAGCTTATGATGATTTTTGCAAGGTAACCAATTTCAATTTTTTTTAAAAACAATATTGTATTTTACTTAATCTAATATATAACTAAATTTTTCTTAAACTCCTCCTAAGGCTGAAGGATTATGGAATACTCCTTTCCTTTATCTAAGCAAGTCAAATGATATATTTGGTGTTGACAGGGCTAACGGTCTTGCGTCTGAGTTGCCCAAGGACTCTATTCACAACCTTGAAAAAGAGGTTGTTCACCTTGATAACAATAGTCAATGTTCACTTGAAATTTTAATAGGGTTTTTGAGTGTTAGTTTTAATATTAAATAATTATTTCAAATAATGTGATAAATTTGAATATTTTTGTTTAAAATTTTACTATGGTGTTGTAGTTTTTGTTGAGACATGGTTTGACATTTTCAACCATAATCTATATAAATATTATGATAGAGTTAAAATAAAACATGGTACGTCCTTAAAATTGAATCTTTTATTAACTTAAATATAGATTAGTGAAAAAATTGAAGTTGATTCATGATTCCTATAATTTTCTAACCAAAAAATAGGTTAGGGGATGAGATTCCATTTTAGAATTGAACCAAACAACATTGTATTAAGTATCAAGTTCCAACTATAACACCACAATAATTCTCCTGTTTCCAAACCACCCACCTTTCATAAAATAGAGGAGAACTATTGACATGTTACCCCCACGTATTAAAACATTAGGGTTGTATTAGAATAATTAAGCAACATAACCAAACTTTAATTAGAATAATGTATTAAATAAAACCAATAAGTTAATCTTACAAACTCGAACCATATAAGGCCTTTATTAAAATACACCAACATTTAAAATTCGAAACATAAGTGAAATAACAAAACACAAATAAGTTCAACACAAGAATCGAGTACTCTCAATCACACCAATCTCTTGACAATGCGTATGACAAACCCCGAACTTCATATAATCAAGCTAATTTGTGCAATAATACTCCCCAACATTACAAGTGTTATAATTTTATCATCATTGGGTCATTGAAGGTGAAGGCCATGACCAAACGAAAACACACACACAAAGCACGTAATCAGCAAAGCTGAGTACACTAGTAGAAAAAAGTAAATGGAAAGCGGTTCAAACCCCCTATTGGGAAGTGGTTTTGAACCGCTTCCACTTGGGGGGCTTCCCATTGCCCATTTAAATGGAAGCGGTTCAAACCACTTCCCATTTGTAGTGAATGACAAGCGATTTTGGCGCCTAACCGCTTCCCATTATGCCTACAAATAATAATTTTTTTATTTTTGCTTTTTTCACTAAAATTATACAGAAACATCAAAAAAATGTATAAACATCGCTATTTTTATTAATAAATTGTTATAATATTACATTTTTATCCAAAAATTAATACTACAATTAATAACATATGTTTTTCCCTTGATCATATCAGCAACACATTGGCAACTTAAATCCAGCAAACTCTTGATATCTATGTAATTTGTAGCCTGCATTTACACACATAATTAATTTAGTTATACTTGATAAATCGATCATGAAAATATATAAAAAAAATTAAAATGAAAAATTCTATAGATTTTATATCAAATGATTTTTTTGTTAATTATATAGCCTATTAGCTTTAGAATATACAACCAGTTATCAATTATCATATTAGCTCATTTTGAGCAATTAAAAAAAAAGTTCAACCCAACAATCAGCTACGGAGGGAAATTCATCAATTAACAATGGTGTTACAGATCTAACCACCTCCACCACTACGCCACCCCCAGCCTGCATCCACACTGATAACTTGCTATTTGACATGATTTTAGGGTGTTTTTGAACCTAGTTTACTTGAAAAATTTGTGTTTTGAGTTCACTTTTACTCTATTATTATGCAATTTTTGTGTATCCTATGCTTCACAGGTTGTTAGTGTTTTTGTTGAGATTTCTGGTCCAAAGACGACCAAATGAAGCCTATGGATATTAAACCAAGGTTAGAAGCAATTAATAAGATGATGGAAAGAAGCCAAGGAAATGAGCAAAACCGAAGAAAGGGTGAAAAAAGGGCTTAGAAGACCTTGCACGTCCGTGCCAGACCTTGCACGTCCGTGCAGGAGTGCTTTAGCAAGTCAGAACTTTCTTCCTGAGCATGCACGTCCATGCAGAGTGTTGCACGTCCGTGAAGATGTCTGCACATGCCCTTTCCCACCTCCACTCCTGTCCACCACTACGCCACCCCCACCCATAACTAGACCCTGAACCCACCATCCCCACCCACCCTAACCCACAATCCAAACCCATCCTAATCACCGAATACCCAAACCGGCCCACCACCACAACCCTAAAACCACTAACAACCACCTAAATTCACCACCAGAAAACCAAAAAATAAAATAAATATATAAAAAAAAAACTAAATTGAAAACAAAGAAAAAAATCTACTACACTATAACCATATCCTTTAGATTAACAAGAACCCAATTTTTTTTAAAAAAAAAAACAACAAATGCAAAAACAAAATTAAAAGAAAAAATTCAAAAACAATAACATACCTAAAATTTCAACAAAATCCACGCATTTAGCCTCAAATTTGGTTATATAAGGCCATATTCGACCATAAAAACTCTAGATCTAGAGTTTTTATGGTCGAACTTGACCTTAAAACCATTAATTAGATAAAACAAAAAAAAACGTCGGGATGAAGTAAGAGAAAAAGAGAGAGATCAACAAGAAGAAGAAGAGAAGAAGTAAGAGAAGATGTAAGAGCAGCGAGAGAGTAGAGAGATAGAGCAGCGAGAGAGTAGAGAGATAGAGCAGCGAGAGAGTAGAGAGTTAGAGTGGCGAGAGAAAAGAGATGAAGAGGGAGAACGACGGGAGGAGAGAGAAAGGGAAATGAAGTAAAGGAAAGAGGCGTGAGATGAGGGGTTTAATAATTGTTAGGTTTTTTTTAAGAACGGGAAGCAGATCAATGTTCAAACTGCTTCCCATTACAATTTTGGGAGCGGTTCATCCGAAAACCGTTCCCTATTTGCTTGTTTCAAATTTTTTTATTTTTTGGGTGGGTTTTGT